CATCTAAAAATAAAAAAGACGCTGCAATCGAATTCGTGCCGGGACTGTCAACGACATCGGAGGGGTTGCGCAATACCCTCTTGATCATCAATGATGCGAGACAAAAACAAAAGGTACTGCCTCTTTCTTTGCCGTTCTTATCCTTGGAATAAATTTCCAGGAATGATCACTCGGAATCTCGGAAGGCAGACAGACCCCTTCCGTACAAAACCCTGTTTCTGCATGGTCTACATATCGAACGCTTTCGAAATCCTAGGGATCTGGCACAGTTAGATTTCTCACACGTCAAATATCCTCATTTAAAAAACTAATCCAGACGATAGGGAAAACGGATATTCAGCCAGGAAGGTCAGAGGTTCAGTTCATTCAACTTGACTTTCTAATACTTCTTTTATATTCCTTTTTCCCCTAATAGAAAGCCGGACATGAAGATGTTTCGTATGGGGATGGCTTGCCTCCTCTCTCCGCCCGACCTATTTGGCGGTAAAAGGAAAGATTCGAATCGAAGGGCTGAAAGGAAAAGTGGACTATCTGCTTAAAATGTCCGAAAAAAGTACACTGCTCGTTTACTGCTCTTAGAACCTCATTTCTTGCATTGAAAAAAGCAGTTTTTGGGAATTACCTTATGGATAAACTGTTTTATCATTGCATAACACTTTTTTAACTTTAACTTCTTTAACTTCTTTAACTAGAGGACAGTGAAATTTTCACTCCTATGTGGAGATCGCGGAAATAATTTTTTGCAGATAGACCACTTTTCCTTTCAGCCCTTCATTTCGTTGTGGTGGTGGGGATTTTGGGCATTGATTTCCAATGAAAACTTATCGAGCATTCAACAGGACGTCAGGTAGACTGCAGCATGTCGACGGAGACGTGACGACAAACCGTTAAACAGTAGAAACGTCTGATGACCTGCCAAAGGAGCGACGCGAAGATTTGAGATCTTATGCATTCTGCCATCGACAGTTTGGCAGAGTTGATTGTTTCTTGCCCTGCTTTGAGATAAATGCTTCAGAATTCATTTCATCCCGGGGGATTAATTTTCCACGAGACAGAATATGAATACCACGAATATCTGTGAGTGCTAATAAGGGCTAAACTTTTTAAGCGTGTGTCCCTCTTGCTTGAAATGTTTATCTCGTACCTTGCAACCCCGGTCACTGCAACTGGATGACATCCGCGTATGACATATAGAGGGTATCGCACAAAAGATCCCCGACTTTCAACCTTTAAAACTCTACACTTTACTGGAGCAATCTTACGAAACTTACAATTCCGAATTCTTTTCAATAATCGTTCTTAGCCCGGCTGTAGAAGAGTGAATTTGCATGCAATTTCAAAGGAGTATTGAGAACGTGCCATTTCATGTATAGCTCAAGTTACGTAAGAATGGCTCCAGTAGGTGCAGAGTCATAAAAGTTGAACGTCGGGAATCTTTTTTGCCTTACCCCATTTGATGGAAACTGGCGCAGGATTCTGCCAGTTCACCATGGTAGAGCGCCTTGGTGACGTGCACCGGTTAATAACGACTGACAGGATGCAGAATTACTTATTTTCCTGCCAAACCCTGCAAAAATCTTTCCCGGGCATCAAAGCCACTCTAGTTTGCATTGATATTTTTATCTTACAGCCAGTTCATTCAGGCACACTTGATATGGGAGAAAGTACACCATTGATATTTCATTCTATTAGATGAGTCTGGTTTTCCGAGATTGGATATCAGAAAGAAAGAAGATTCATTCCTCGACTCGTATATTAAAAAACGAAATCAAAAGAATCCTTAACGTGCCGCGAAAGAAAAAAAACGATTAAATTTATATGCCTTCGTCTAAAGTTTGTGAATCTGTATGAAAGATAAAAAGATCATATCATAGAAAGTCTGAGAAAGGCCGAATATGCAAATTTTGAATCTATCCGGATGCTAATAATTTTTCCCGTAGTGAAGAATGAAAATTAAGGAATACTAGCTGCAACCGGTGCTGGTTTCAGCCAATATAGTCGCTTCGTTCCATCTTAATCGTACTCCTTTATGGGAGATTTACTTTCGCTTTGATCTTGGCCTTTCTCATCGCTTCACTCCTCCATCCTTCATCCTCGAGATTCAGGATCCACATCTTCGAGTGGCATCACTTGGCTCCTTTGAAGTAGTCCTAGTCAAGAGAGAAAGGGAAGAAGAGAGATCATGACGATAAGGGGATCTGTTCCGAGAGGAGTCGGACAGGTGGCAAGAAGTGAGCTCATTAGAACCAGTTTCTCCTCCCATCGTTAACCTATGAGGGTTTGGAAAACATTTGAAAATGGGAACATTTTTATTGGAGGAAACTGCAAAAATCCCCCGCCGAAAAAGGCAGATCTCATTCCCTAGAAACTCATGAGAAATTTTGAGCCGCGATTATAATACGCCACCCCTCCCCCATCCCTCTGTTCCCTTTGGTGAAACCCTGCATACACCACTGATACCTACTAATGCAAAAGCCTCATACACGCTCAAGATGCCGAGTGGTCAGGGATCATGGATGTTCCAGGCAAGCTTAGCGGAACCACCAACCACTCAAACGATTATTGGTGTCAAGTTTTTATTTATAGGGTGTGGAGTCAAAATCTAACAAATACAAGTGATCCTGAAAATGTGCGAATTCATTCCGAATTCACTTAAATGCTAAAGAGGAAGAGTGAACACCATCAAGGAGGTCGATCCCTACAGATAAAACATTAGGATAAGAGATATGCCTTTCTTGTCGTGAGCTTCAGTTCCGTCAAAGTCGTTATAGAATAGATATTTTTACTCGGTATTTTGCACGAATTTTGCTGTCCAACCTTTCACGAACCTGAGTTTTACACAGAGACAGCTGCATCCTACTTCAACGATCGGTTTCTTACTTAAGGGCTGCCAAAACTGTTTCGGTTCGGAATCTATGGTTCTTCCATCTGACATCCATTCAGATGGTACTCAATATCTATTATATGTTAGAATTGATAGAATCTACGCACGTATCGATAGTTCTATGACAGAAAAATTAAAAGATCAAGAGAAGGGACTTGAGATGCGATTAATCGCAAGTTCAAATGGTTAAAATTATGCACACGACTGTAGACAAAGGTAAGGTAGCCCTGTGGTGTATGGGAGTGCCTGACAGAACGTGCAACTGACTGCTCTTCTATTACTTCTCTTGTGTTGCTGAGAGGTTTGATGGTCTCCATTGTCGCCATAATCCAAAGGAAAATAATTCCGCGAATTGGGAAGCCGCATTTCCTCAGTCTGTGCAGGCATTGCCTTGCTCATGAAGCAGAGGACGCTATCATGATTGCCAGCCGACACGCGAGTGCTTCAGTGAGGAATGTTTCAGTGCAGTGCACCTTACCAACCACCTTGCATGAGTGTTGGGGGACTAGCTGGGGTCTTTTGGTACTCGCTATAACACCATTCTGAACTGCCTATTTTCATTGATGACGTGGCATCATCAGCAGATGCGTCGCGCACCTCATTGCAGGTTATCGGTTGACTAATTCGATTACTAGTGCCTCAAGTTCAAATTCCTACCCACCGAATAAGTGAGAGAGCCAAGTCGCCTTCAAGAGTTCCTTTGCACAAAGGAAAATCAATAATTAATCGGCACTGATATTGGTTCGACAAAGCTATGAAAGCGACCGCGGAATCGAATTCCTGTCCATTCTCACCTCAACTTCACCCTGCCGAATATTTCATAGTCAGGGCATTGGATTCGGAGGAAGAGACGAGGATGAGAGGAGGTGGCTGAGCTTCCACCTGTCTCGTCTGTCTTTAAAAGGCGTGAAAATGAGGCTTATACCCCACGAGTGAGGTATCATGTCCAGGTGGAGTAAAGTTCTCGAATGAACGGAAATCCTAGTCTTTGTTCTAGTTCCTGCTATTTTCAGGCCAGTTTTTCCCAAGGGCAGAACATTTCCCTGCTCACCCAAGAGAGTCCAACAGTGACAGGGGCCCTGCCCACTTGTAGGCGCTGCTAAGTATTATTGAGAAGCAATGCAAGGGAACCGGGGCGCCGCAAATCTTACATGATACACCATTGGGATCCTGAGTGATAAGTTTATATCCGAACTAAACACACACGCAAACTTTTGGGGGTTTCTATGATCAAGATTCTCATCTGATTTACGAGTACTTTTTTTTTGCCCAACCTGTCCTATAATACAGGGTGATTTTTTTTATTAGCGCAACCCTCGAAAAACAGCATAACTTCCTACATAATAAAGCTAGCAAGTTGATATTTGGCATAGACTGAGATCCAACTATGCAGGGCTCGCTTTTACTGCACCAGTTGCTGGAATTGATCCCTGTCGTACATTTATGTTATATATGTATATTTAGCCCCTTGCGTTCCTAAGACTACTGCAATGCCGTCTGATTTGTGTGTTTGTGTGAGTATGGCCTATTAAAAATGGGAACATCGACTGTTTTCGAAAATCATACTGCCCTTTAAGGGCTTTTCAATATTGACAAGTTCGAGTATTTCCTACTGTTTAAAACAAAATGCGCCAGCATCTATAAAACACTACTGAAAACTGGAAAACTAGTGCGAGTCGTAATATATGATAGCGAGGAACAGTAGTGTTTTGGCTTCATCAACTCCTTTTAAAGTATTTTTTTCTGGATATCGCACAGTTCTCTGGAATCAAGAAGGAAAAGTCATGTCATGGCTGACTGGCTCTGACTTTGACGTAGATTCTTTCAGGCCATTCAGCAATAGCAAATCGATGAGCCTCCTCTGTTTCCCTTTACTTCCATTATGGTTTCTTTCTCTTCAATACTCAGCGTTGTTCCATCAAAAGGAGAGGATTACGCGAAGGATAACTTTAGACTCTGATTAACAGCACTAAGGAATGAAACATCTCTTTGCATACAAAACTCCGCCCACTAATTTTCAATTGTGCTCTTTAAATTTTCCGTGATGTCTAAAGCGCAAATTCTCAGATAAAAGAGACAGAGACAAGTCGGACGAAAGGAAAGTACTATACCGATATGTAGAAAAACACGTATAATTTATTTAACGAACCATGCAAACACACATACGACAACAAAAACAAGATGCCTTTGAGCGCTGAGGACACACTGGGTGCGACAGGTACTGACGAGACAGAGGTGAGGCTCGAGGCTGAGGGGGAGAAGAATCAGTCCATGAGGCTGATGATCCGCTTATGGACCCAGGGCTCACTAGTAGCCCCCACCATATCCTCCATATCCACCGTATCCACCGTATCCACCGTATCCGCCGCCAAGACCACCATAGCCAAGACCTCCGCCGTATCCACCGCCCAATCCGCTCAGGCCATACCCACCGCCGTACCCACCATACCCTCCTCCTCCATAGCCTCCGAAGCCACCACCATAGCCACCATAGCCAAGCCCACCAAGGCCGCCGAATCCTCCGCCGTAGCCGCCATATCCTCCTCCCAGCCCGCTAAGTCCATACCCGCCAAGTCCTCCTCCATAGTATCCAGATTGTTGACCGGACAAGTCCACGGTCTGTGACTGGCCGAATTGTTGGCCGAGTTGTTGGCCGAAACCCTGAATCCCCTGGTTCCTTTGGGCATCTGCATCAGACTTTGCGCTGCACGCGACAGCCAAGACTAGAACCTGTGCCAGAAAGCGAGGAAAAATTATAACAGAAAGGGAAAACGGGAATATCTAGGAGAATATAGTGGACGATGAAAGAGAATTCGAAAATTGTTTGTTCACCACAACTGTGAGACAAACTTTGCGTGCATTAAATGACATAGCTATTATGATTATGATAATGTAAATAGGAAAATCTTTTCTCGGAAAGATGCACTCATGAAGCAAATTTGAGAAATATCGAACAGGAATATGTTAGGTGTTACATTGTTTCTACTCGAGAAACAGCCATCCCAGAATATTTCATGGCGGATCATGACCGATCGCTAAAGTCATTCCATTTCCTCTCATATAAGAAGATTCGATAATGGCAACTCGTCAAGTTGAAGAAGCAGAGAAGGAACTCACCACGAGAAACTTGTACATGTTGTCAAGAATGTCGAAGCGAACGGCAGAGAAGGAACGTCAGTCAAGGAAGGAGAGCGAAGTGAATGTGAATGGAGAGAGAGTCGGAGCAGGGCCTTTTATACGCCGGACAGTGTCGCTGGCCACGTCGTTTGACCACTCTCACCTTCATCCCCATCGCGGAATCCTCCATCATACCCCATACCCATTCCTGTAACAGACTCCATTCCTATGATATGCAAGGAAACCTGCTTCCTTTCTCCTCAATCAGCACGAAAGCGTTCAGATGACGAAGAAAGGAATGTTTCCATCCCGGTCTACCCACATCCCTCATTAGTCTTACCTTCTTTTTTCATTCACTTCCATCTTGATAATTCAAATGGCAGCGTACAGTACCTTTTTTCTTTCACAAATTTTCTTGTCGTATATTTTGCCTCAGCCACTTCAGCTTTCCCTTTGGAATCTGGGCAACATCTCGTTACTTTCGTAGCTTTGCAGGAAAGCAAATTAAGGAAATTATGAAAAAAGAAAGCATTAGACTCGATGTTGCTTGACGTGTCGTCATGGTACCTTATGTGTACATACGGTGGCAGGTAAGAACCAAGGAACAAAGGAATTGCAAAAGAACCTCCTCCATCTTCCTAAAATACTTTCTCCTGAAGTTTTCCAGTGAAAAATAAACCAAGGGAACGTCGCTGCTCGTGCCATGCTGACATCAAGTGACCATGGCCTACTGCTGATGATGGTACGAATTCAGATCCTGATGACCATCAAGTCGATCACATAGACAGTTTGCGAACCTGCATGGGTGGACAATCCATTGTTCAAATAACGGGAAATTCAAAATATTAGACCATTTCTCTTACAAGGGCTCTGTGACAGTCAGGGTCGGCCCTGGCTATTTCGGCGTCCTGTGCAAAGAGATTCCCAACGCCGCTGCCCTACCTCCAGAAGGGAGAAGGGTCAATCCCTAGCATCCAAAATGACGCCGAAATGGAAGGCTTTTCCACTTTCTGAAGTAAAACTGAGGGAGGCATCCATTATCGCTTCATGCATTCAGTTACATTTCGGCGCTTCTGGTGAGTTTTGGCCCTGTGCGGGGGCACATGTGGCACATGCCTAAGGCCGGCTCTGGTTATTCTCCGGTATCAGGTTGAGCCATGACGAGCACACACGAGTCAAGAGAATCGATTATGCCTATTCTCAGGGTCGGACTGGCCCATTGGGACACCGGAAAATTTCCCGGGGGGCCCCCAAACCGTTGGCTCTCCCCCTCCCCCCAGTTAAAGGGGGGGGGGGGGGGGCGGGGGCCCTTGTTAGCAATTTCCTAGGGGGCCTCAAGGCCGCCAGTCCGACCCCGCCTATTCTGGGACACCATACCAATACAAGCATCTGTTTCCTTTCGCGTTTCTTCCTCAAATGAAACCTGCCTTTCATGAAGATGATTACTGAGATACCTTAGTCACTCGTTCCTGGTTCTCTTTAGCTGTACCTTTAAGATCGATGTTATCAGCAGAAGCAAGCACAGGCTCAGGAAACCAAGCTTGCATTGGATGCAGCCATGGTGTATGACGTCATGAACGAGGGACAACTTTATAACTGATCAATATCGAACATGATGGTGAGAATGGGAAAGAGGTATTGTGACTAAAGAGTATCATCGTTAGTTGATGAAGATACGACGATGATAAGAGCGAACGAGGTTTCTCAACCATACTGGGTCCATTCCTCCTGAGAGCATTGGCAAATATATATGCAAAAAAAATTCAGTTGCAAGATATCATAGCTCGGATGCCAAACCGCGGCATCGAAGGATTGCGGAATGAGATATTCGGGATTTTCGATGAGTGGAAAGAGAGGAACCGAGAAACCGGTCTGAGGAGATAATTGGAGTGCTTTTCACTTTCACGTGGAAGTTGATCGAGTGAGAGGGGAAAGAAAAGGGGATGAAAAAGGAAAAGTCGTCTGGATCCTCCGGTCCTGGTCCTAGTCAAAGCGTCACGCACTCGCATGACATCCAAGAAGGGTGGAAAAAATTTTTAAAATGGCGTTTAATGGGATCCACGCCCTGCCTACCTCCCGATGGAGAGGGTTAAAGATAGGGTACTTCTCGTGCTTGGCCTCTAAAACAGAAAAAAAGGGGAAAAACTGAGTAGGATATAATGATAGAATGGAGAACAAAGGAGATAGAGGTGAGAGGAAAGAGGAAAGTCCAGGGCCAAGCGACTGCGGAGAACGGGAAAGGGGATTAAAATACTTTTCGAGGAGCAAGGCCGTACCAGCATGACCAATTTACTTATAATGTGGGACGGGATACGATACTTAGATGCGCTTCCATCACCCTATGACGTTCACGTGACGTCCGGTAGTACAATAGAATGACTGGAAATGTGCGTTCAACTGCAAAAAATTCCGAAGGTCTGTCGACACAACCGACATGGAACAACCCGGGAAATTTTTTCTCTCAAATCGCTTCCATGAACATCGAGTATAGGGTCGTTGAATACAATCGTTATGAACAAAGGGAGAAGGGGAACCGGAGACAGGCTATTGACCGATTATATATTGCTGTTATCCAAGACGGAATCCATCGTTTGGATCAGGATTGTATGGAAGTTGCTTGACTAAATTATGTTAGTGTATTTTGACTCATACAAGGGGGGGAGGTGGGGGGGAGGGGGGAGGCTGAGGCGGATGATAAACTTTTCCTTTCAGTGCCCTCACGGCCTCAAGACAAACACGACAAAGAGAGTTCCAAGGCTGCACTCTTCAATTCCGCCACTGATTATATGCTACAGTTCATGGCTCTTTTGGGCACATATTAACTGGAAAATAATCTGATTTTTCATATTTAAAATAATATAGGCTTATATATAATTTTTAAGCTGCAAATTCGAAGGTCTTTGAAACCATTCAAGAATAATTTCCCGATCTCATACCTTTTCGGTGCAGTAACAAGCGACTGGTGGAGAACAAAAAAATTACAAGAAATGAATTTAAAAATTATCCCATAAGAAAATAAATCTCCCTCATTTATGTGTCGTAATAAAGCAATAATGAGTTTGTGATGGCATCAGTCGTAAGAGTGGATCTTCCTTCGACACTTGAGAGATGGAAACTTGATCTCCCTGAAGCCCAGGAAAGCCTACCATTAATCATCTAGACTATTTCGAGTATCCTCTCAGAAAGAAGACACGGTTGACAAAGTAATATATCGTAAGTTGCGCACAGGGTCGCCCAAAAAGTTCTGCCGTTTTTAATTTCTCACCATTTTCAAGTAAATAAAATTAATGTTTTATGCCCACATAATCTAAGACTTGAATAGACGATCGTGAGCGACTGACTGATGCTGATTCCAAGCATGTTCTAGATAATGATAGAAAGCTGAAACTTAGTACTCGAGTAGCTGTTGGGGAGATAAGCTCGGGAAAAAAAGCTACTTTTTATTACTAACTCGAGGGCACATTTTTTTTAGGGGAGGGGACGTTTTTCCTGAACATTTTTCGTTCCAGCCAAACGGGCAGATATGATAGAGAGCTGAAATTCGATACACACGTAGTTCTCAAGGTGTTAGGTTCAGGAAAAATCCAATTTTGAAGTACTGTTCTCTGGGCGCACAATTATTGGGGGGGGGGGGGTCTCTATATTTTTCCGATGGAGCAAAATGGTAAATTCAGTTACGTTACAAAATCTACAGCATTAAGGAGAAAGTTCCTGGGGATCTTTGAGGAGAATCAATTTTCCGGCCATTCCCATTTCCCAGTAAAAAAAAAAAATATTCAAATTGGTTGTAGTTTCTTCTTAATTGCGTAATTGCCCTGAATTTCTATTTCTGACGTAGAGATTGATGGGACATTTTTGACGCTTGAAGGCTCATTAGACGACGCATTGCGAATTGTCCACCAGTGCTTCTCATCGGGAGTCACTTGACCTAAGAAATAAAACTTTATGAAATCTGTTGATGCTTCCATATAAAGTTAGAAATTACTGTGGGAGTCTTTATAGGGGAAGATAAATGTATTTATAATGCCGTTAACCCCAACTTTTGCCAATAACGTAACACAACTGGAAGTAACTCGATGGCGCAATGAAAAAATTCTGAAATCTACGAGGTTTTAACACTTTAAGAGGCCGGCAATTTAATGCCGGCAGCGCTGAATGCGTAAGTTTAACCCTCAACTAGTATTGTGAGGTCATAAGAGACCCCACCGAGTCAATGACCGAGAGATGGCGCTTGCGATCAATGTGTCCATTCCAGTACCTTCATGAGGCATTAGGACCTTTATCGCCCTAACTATTCATTCCAAAAGACTTCATTTTATTGAGATTTTTATCGTTGATGTTTATTCGACCCCAACAATACCCGTCACGTAATGGAAAAAAAAACAACAAATAGGCCTAGACCAGTTGAGGGTTCATGAATAGCCATCAGATTTACTAAGATGAGCGCCGAAGGCACGAGCATTGCAAGTTTCTTTGCCCAAACAGCAAACAAACTTGCGTTGTCGGTGACACGTTGTTAACTTGCGTTGTTCTTAAGTCATCATGGTCATCCGTGACGATGAAGACAAAGGGTTAATAAAAGTCCTTCAGGAAAAAGGCCGTGAAGAGAAGAAAATGCTGCAAGAGTTTCCAAACCGGGGGTGAAACTTGCGAATCCTCTTCGAATTGAATAACGATCCCGATGTTTGTTTGTGCTGTCTTCGAGTTAGGTGGAACATATATATCATTAGAAAACAATTAATATAAATCAACTTTTTTTTTGTCGTTCCTGCTTAGCCAAAGTAGGTAGTGTAGGAATTTTGCACGGCTTTCGTAAAATAATTGACTGCCATAAGATTTTAATTAAATAAAAGTGAAATAGGCATCACGTGTGTGTCTGATGGGCAATGTTTACTTAGTTTAGCTGGATAAAGGAGTTGAAAACGACATAACTTTTTTGGGCCACCTGGTAAGTATCCGATCCAATTAAAGACGTTGAGAAGCGGGGAGGAACAGAGGAAGCCTTATTTTATCTCCTTAAATGCATGCCTTCTATTCTCATCGTTGTTTGCGATGACTTGAGGTGCAAGGCAAATCAAGGTTTTCATGCACGAAGAAAAAAGAAAAACCCTTAGAAGAGGAAGCCGTGCCACGTAGCGGCTGGTCCTTACGAGGACAACGGACACAAGG